AAATCAAATAGATCTATAAACATATGAAAATCTTGAAAATGAGTGATATAGATAATATATTGTAAAATGCACTATTTCTGAGACTTAAAATTTTTTTATTTTTCATAATCATACAGCTCAATTTTTCAACATTAAAACTACCTTTTCTGATGAATTTTTGAAAGGCATCCATAATTCTACAGTATAAGGTTGCATTCTTGTATAAAGTTTTTCCATTAAATAAAGTAGGGCAATTTCTTTTGTAAAAGAGTTTATGTTGTTAAACTATTGTTTCTACTTTTCATTATGTTTTCAAAATCCATTTCAACTTATTTGAGTTATAGTTTTCCGGATTTGACTCAACCAAACCCCTTACCCATTTGGTGGCTAGGCTAATCGTGATAATGCCAAACAAGACCAACAAATCTAGTGCGTGTAACAAAGTTCGAGAAAAATTTTGAATTAAGTCAAATAACACAACTACCCAATTATAAAAATCTTACATACAAATATAATTATGACCTTCTTATATTAAAAATAAATTGAAATCTTACAGACAAATATAACTATGACCTTGTATTAAAAATAAATCGAAATCTTACAGACAAATATAACTATGACCTTCTTTTATTAAAAATAAATATTCTCTTTGTATACTTTTCCGGCCCTGGTCGTCGGACAAAGCCTCCCAAAAAACAGAAGAAGGCCTATGAAACGGATTCTGTTATTTTTGGCTTTAGCATCAAATGCCAAGAATACTGTCATGCACTTTTAGCTTGGAAAAATGGAATCGGCTTTTTGCCGGGTCTAAAAAGCAAATGGTACTTTTCCGGTAGAAAAACGCGTACATCTCCAAATCCAATTGTAGAGAGAATTTATGGAACGAAAACATCACACCAACGTAGATTAAAAATCCAAACACGACACATATATCACGTTTGCAAGCATGATGAGAGAGAGAGAGAGAGAGCGAGCTAAAAGAATGTAGTTACGAAACAGTGGCAACTCTTTTTACAACTTGGAAGCAAAAGGATTCAAGAAACCATAACGTGACTCATCCATTCCTGTAACGTGCACCCCAAGACTCTATTAACTCCCCATCTTTGCTTTGCTATCCCAACTCATTTAAATAGCTGTCTCCTTGGAATAATCCAACTCTGAGAATCATGAAACACTGGAAATATAGTACAAAGACAGGATACTGACTGCATTGAAAGAGATTTATGGATTCTCTCACATCAATTGAGAGAGAGAGAGACCATTACGGAGATCAAGCGGAGTCGTTTTTTGAGCGATCTGGAATTTGTGCAAGCAGGTTTAACTGAAATGAAAGAGTAACTGAATATCTAGAGAGAGGAGTCCCAGAGCGTGCAAGATGAGAGACTGCAACAGCAACAAACACTACGTCAAAAAAAGAAGTATCCGTTGTCCAAGAATAATCCACTGAAGTTCTACAGATTCATCCTGTGTTGTGCTTCCTAGAAATCGGCTACCCAATCCAGGTGAAATACCAAGCAAGCAGTCTCAAAGCTTGCCCTCGAAGGGAAGTTCGAGAAAGCACAGAGCAAAACACCATAGTAAGCATTTATAACCATTATAGGGGGGGAAACACCTAAGTAAGAGAGAAAACACACCTGAGAGTTAAGTCCTGATAGTTTGAGTAGGAGAGAGATGGACAAAGGCACACCTCAGCAAAAAGCCGAGAGCATCAGCCTGCACATAGACAAAGAACAGGCGCACCACCCAAACAACAAGAAAGACAACAAAGGATGCCAACGAGAACCACTGCCCGACCCCCAAATCAATGTCCCCTCGAGCTCTCAGTCCAACCACCATGACCATGCCCCTGAAAAGAAAATTACCCTCTTTGCCCTCCGCCTCGCCATTCTGGAGAAAATGGCAAGCGGCCTAGGCACCCTTGGCTTTATTTGGGCCACAGTGGTGCTCCTTGGTGGCTTTGCCATCACTCTCTCTCAAACCGACTTTTGGTTCATAACCACCATTCTCCTAATCGAGAGCACCCGAATCTTCAGCCGAAGCCATGAGCTAGAGTGGCAACACCAAGCCACTCGCTCCCTAGCCGAGGCCTCACGGGTCAGCTTCCGAGCATTGAAAGAGGGCTCTGGCCGATTGATTCGAGCCATGGTGCACCCCCTCTCAGCCACTAGGCTCAATGACCATGGCCGCAAAATCCAATGGCCAGCAAAGACCCAGTTGCCAGAAGCAGAAGTTCTAAGCCATCACCTTCCAGCAAGGACTTGGAAAACATCAGATGTGCCATTGTTGCCTTACGCTGGCTGGGTTTTTCTGTCTAAGAATATAAGTAGGTCCTTGTATTGGCTTCAGCTATTGTCAGCCTGTGCTTGTGTGTGTCTCTCTTTGATGAGGCTCTCAACGCAAAAGTATGGCGAAGTTTCTAAAGGAGACTCTGATAAAACAAACAGGGGATCAGCTTTGAACATCTTTTACGGGTTGGCTTTGGCTGAAGCTCTATTATTTTTGTTGGAGAAGGCCTATTGGGAGTGGAAGATCAGTCATGGCAGACTCCTTGAACAGGTAAGTTTCTATTCTTTTCTTCTTTTATCTTGGGTGAGAGGAGAAACCCCTTATTTGTTTCTTGGGAGTTCGAAGCATATCATAATCTAAGGGACCATGTGGTACTCATGTAGTCCATTTGCATTATAACTGTCCAATGACCACCTCAAAACAGGACATGACCCCAATGGTCGGTCCATCACCATTCATTATTTTATTTGATTGCTTTGAAAACTCCAATTAACAATGGTTTTACTACATGGCCCCTTGGACTATACTTACCCTTGCCTCTCTCTCTTCTTTCTTGGTTAAAAAATTTGTTATTTCTTTGAACAGGTGAATTTTGATTGTGGGTTTGACCAAATGAGTATGGTTTCAATCAAGCGCTTCTTCTATGATGCTTACTCTAAGTGTGTAAATGGGTCAATCTTTGATGGCCTGAAAATGGACCTCGTCACCTTTGCCACTGAGCTCATGTTGTCAGATTCCAGTGATGAACAGCTTGCAGGAATTCGAATTCTCGGGCGATTCTCAACTGGGAACCTTTTCTCAGATGAGACTCTAAAGAAGCTTGGAACATCATCAATGGCAATGGATCGGCTAATTGAGCTGCTTAATTGGAAGAATCCCAGAGAAGAGGAGATACGAAAGTCGGCTGCAGAGATAATATCGAAACTCGCCGGAAAAAAGCAGAATGCACTTAAAGTCGCCGGGATTCCGGGTTCCATCGAATCAATCTCTTCTTTGCTTGAAAATCCTAGCAAAGAATCACCAGAAAGCATCGACACATATGACTATTCAGAGTTTAATCTGCTGGGTCTTCAGATACTTAAGGAACTTGCTAAAGATCATGACAATTGTGGGAAGATAGGAACCACAAGAGGACTCCTACCCAAAATTGTGGAGTTTACATGGGCTAAAGATGTTTTAATGAGAGGAAATAGGACCACAGAGTCTCAGATTAGAGTGGTGAAGCGATCGTTGCAAATTTTAACGATGTTGGTTAGCTCAACTGGTATCACTGGAAAAAATTTAAGGCATGAGATTTCACAAAATGTGTTCACATTAAGCAATATTAGAGAGATCTTACAGTATGGGGAGAGTTACAGTGAATTGCAGAGACTTGGGGTGGAGATTTTAACCAGTTTGGCCATGGATGGAGAGGCCAAGGAGAAGATTGGAGGAACAGGTGGGATCTTGAGGTTGCTTGCTTCAGTGTATTTTAAGCAGGGGATAATGGCAGCAGGGGAGGCTTTGGAGATGTTGGGTTTGGAAAGCGAGGAGAATTGCAAGAGAATGGTGAGATTAGGGGTAGTGAAGGAGCTGATAGAGGGGCTGAGAAACCCTGTTCTGTCAGTGAATTCGGCTAGGGTTTTGAGGAATTTATGTGCCTATGGTGGATCTAATTGTTTTCAAGGGCTAAATGAAGTGGTAGATGCTCAACCGACGGTAAGTTATTATGTTGCCCTTTTTGACTAACAATCAACTCATAGAACCAGGATTCAAGTAAAAATTCCTAAATAGGAGCTGATAAATTTTAAGAGAATCATAAATACGCAAACTATTGCAAACCCAATTTGCAAATTTATTTAACATAGGATCCATTTTTAAATCACTAACACCTATTTTGCTCCAAATTTCCCTCTCATAACATCGGCAGGTTTATCGAACTTCTCACAATTATTTTATGATTTTTGTTCTAAATATCCAATTCTCAAAAAGAAACTCAGTAATCCTCAGATAGCCATCAAAGTTCCAAATTTCTCATAGTGAAGAAGTAAAAGGATACTAACACGGTCGGCTTTTCTTATGAAAATACTTTGGTAACTGAGCCTTAGAGACTTGAAAAGCAAGATACAAACAGAGGCTTCAAGACTGATAACTCAGAGAGTTAATATTTTGTCAATAATGGAATGAAATTCTATTGCAAACAAAAAAAAGATAATAGAAGCACCTTTTTTTTAATTTCTAACCTTACTTGTATCTCTTTTACAAGCAGGTACTCAAGATGATAATGTCAGAGGAAACCAAATCGCAAGAAGTTGCAATAGGGCTAGCCATTGAGATATTCAGATTCATGGATAAGTCACAGGTTGAGTTGGCCTTTTGGCAATCCGGTGTTAGAAAATCAACACTAGCTGGATCCCTGGTTCAGATCCTAAGAAAATACCCAAAACCCTCAATTGAAGTTCCACGGATGAGGAGGTTTGCAATAGAATTGGCAATTTGGATGATGCGACTTGAAGAAGAAAACAATAACATTTTCCAGGAATTGGGGTTAAAGGAGGAGTTGGAGAGAGTTGCAGATACCACATCAGAGCTCGAGTGTTTCAATGTATTCTCAGGGAGTGTTGGGATCAGTAGGCACCGTATCCCTATGCAAATGCTTGTGACAAAAGCATTGGAGTTATTGGGTTGTTAGTAGGATCTCTACAATGTGAATTACACCCCAAAGAAAAACCTCGAATAAGAAGTTTGAAGAGTCGGTGGATGCTGTCTCAAAAAACGATTACTATGTTAAAATTTGAATTTATTTTATTGGTTCTGAACATCCTATATGGTTATCCATTCTTTATTATTACCATATGACAAAAAAGGTGAAACAAATTGGATAGATGTTATTTTCAAGAGTTTTCATGTCAGATGCCAAATTTGATTAGGGACTCCTTATTTTTTGAGTTATATTGGGCATTCCCCAGGCATAAAAGAAGGTACATATTTTCTTGTAACCATGATGCAATACTAACATATTTTTTAATCATTGTTTAAGATAGCAATCTGTTGCTAAACTTGAGCAGGTAGACACTTTTTAGCAAGTTTATAACCTAATAGGAGTAGGATTATATGCGTGTGTTTTTTTTTTTGGGTAAGTCAGTGGCGAGAGGGCCCCTACCTTTGTAGGAATTGAGCCTAGGACGTAGCGTTGAAAATCGTCAAGCACTAACCAACTAAGCCTTGGCTCTTTTTCTGATTCTATGTGTATGTTAAAGCTAGCAAGTTCCCACTCCAATTGAATAATTTGTAACCTGAACAGGAACTCAAACTCAACATTAACTGACCAAGCCAAGTAGAATTAACATATTTGCTACAGTTAAAAACTAAGCCTTGATGTATGAGCACAAATGGGGGCAAATTAAGGCAAGGAACCTAGAGTTCTAATGGTAATTTAGAGCTCCAAGAACGGTGTCCTCATGCCATATCAAGCATACAGGAGCATTTACTAAAACCATAGTAGAGAGATTAGCATGAGTAGAAGATCCATAGGAGGATAATGGAGGCTTTGTTTTTAAGGCCAGAGAGTAAAAATTTTGCTCCGGATATGGGTTGAAAAACTTTTTTTCTGAATGGATATTGCAAAGGGAAAGAAATGGATGATTATGGAAACCTAAAAGTATCATTCATGGTCTGTTTGATAAAACAGGGTTTGAATAGTGAGAATTTTAAAAAGTTAGATAACAGCTTTGGGAGCTTTCTGTACTTCTGGATTATATACTATTCTAATATGTTCATTCTTTTGCATATTTAATTGTCAACCCCTATTTCAAAACTCTTCTAGATTTAGTATTTGGACAATTCCTGCAAAATTAGAATTTATATAAAACCAAAATAATTTCAAGCCATGGTCATGTCATTGAGGATGAGTACCCAAAATTTTCTATAGAAAACTTCAGGAACATGTTGTATATCCAATACATATATTGCATCCATAGATTTGGTGGTACAATTTTAAGGTCAATAAATATACCTATAAAAACCTATCAAAGAAGAAAAACAAATTCTATACAAGTATATAAACGGAGATGGGCTATTGGTAATCATCAAATATCAAGAAATGTTGCTACTGGATCTTAAAGAGAGGAAACACGTCAATGGATCTATGATGGAGATGTACCATAAATGGATTCTGCATGTGTACATTTGCAAAGAGACCCTGATTTTTTTGAAGAATTATGGGCCCATAAGCTAAATGTAAATTTAATTAAAAGGGAAACTCTTCTAAATGATATCTTGGCAAGCACGCCCCACAAAGTACAAAAGAAGGAGATTGATCCCAACAACTACAAAAGGTTAGCAAGACATTGATATGAAAGAGTCTACTGAAGTTTATTATCTAGTTTCCAATGCATTAGAACGAATGGGGAATGATTAGGACAGCTTCCAATCCATGCTTTGCTCTTCCACCCATTCAAATCCTTTATCCGCTTTCACCCTAGGGCGGGGACGATAATGAAGTTCTGGACTGACCTTTGGCTAGGACGACGTCCCCTCTCCCTGCGCTTTCCCAATTTCTTTCGTCTAGCAAGGAATCCCAACACCTCGATAGCTGAGCTCTTTGGCACAGTTGGAAACTCTTAACCCTGGAATCCTGATTTCCGCAGACCGCTTTGAAATGAAGTACTCCCTGCCTTTCTAGAACTCTCTTCTATTCTCCACTCCTTTTCCTTTTCACCTAATGGGGAGGACCAAATCATTTGGAGTCCGGCTACATCGGAGACTTTCTCCGTCTCCTCCTCCTATCTCCAATTCACCTTCCCCCCGCTGTTCAACCCTCATAGCAGTCCATCATCACCAGGGCCTGGACCCCTTTCATTCCTCCAAGGATACAGGTCTTCACTTGGATCGCCTATGGGACAGAGTCCTCATCGTGGACTAACTCCAAAGAAGAGGCCTTCAAACTCCTAACAGATGTATTATGTGCCAATCGGGGGAGGAAACAAATGCCCACTTGTTCATCCACTGCAACATTGCGAGCCGAATCTGGAAAGACCTGCTTCAACTTTTCGGTTGGATATGAGTGACACCAGAATTTGTCCTGCGGCTGTTTTAGCTAATAAGCTTCCTTCCATGGCCCAAATCCAGCACTATGCTTTGGAACGCAGCAGTAGCGGCCACCCGCTGGTCCTTATGGAAAGAACACAACAACAGATTTTTTAAGGGACAACATTCTCACGGTCTTTCAGTCAAGGAGTCCCATCTTATCCATGGTGATTTTATGGGCCACCAACCACAACCGTGTCGAGCTCCATTCCACCTCGGATTTTCTTCTCAACTGGACCACCATCCTCCATCATAGACCCAAGCGTGTCACCCGATCCTTCCTTTGGATTGGAGACCCCTGGAACCTGGGCACACCAAACTCAACTTCGATGGGTGGTTGTTGCGCTACCCAGGCTTGGCAGGTATCGGGGCCATTTCAGGAATAATAAAGGAATTTCTCTCCTCTTTCGCCTCCCCTATTGGTTTCACGGTTTCCACCTTGGCGAGAGCTCATGCCCTCTTGGAAGGCCTCAAACATTTCAACCCTTCTTGGAGCTCAGTTCTGATTATCGAAGGGGACTCAAGAAATGTCATTTCGTGGGCCTCACGAGAGGCTACACCACCCTGGAGGCTCATGACTATCTTTGATGAGATTTTTGAAATTTGCAGGCATATGAGGGTCTTTTGGATTCGTACTTGGAGGGAGACCAATCAAGTAGTCGACGCACTGGCTAAGCAATGAGCTTTTGTGACTTTGCCCTAACCTTTTTTGGATTGTATAGAGACCAAAACTTTGTGATTAGCTACTGTTCCTATGTAATTTTGCTTGCATAGTTTTGATTTTGCCACGTTCTCTGTGGCTTTTTGTGCCCCTGGGTTGGGCAGTTTTTGTACACTGTATACTCTTACACTTAATACAAGGTTGACAGTTTCAAAAGAAAAAAAGAATGGGCAATGGATAACTTGAAGAAAATGATTGTACAAAGCTCTTACAGAGCTTTGGAGCTTCAATGCCCATTGGATTTAGAGAGGCAGAAAAATATTTGTAGAGCTTTAGAGATTCGGTGCCCCTAAAATGGATTTAGAAAGAGAATACGGTTTGCAGAGCTTTAGATCTTCAATGCCCCCTCTAAATGGACTTATAGAGAGAAGGTAATTAACAAGTTTTTAAGCTCAGATCCCCCATGTAGATGGATTGAGAGCGAGAAGAAGATTCTACAAAGCTAAATGGAATGCATCCTTCCCCTCCTTTCTTAAAGCTTTGGAGCTTTGATATCCTACAAATGAATTTAGCGAATGGGATTAGCCCTGGAACCTGTAGAAGACTGATTTTAAGGGAGGGGTAAATTTTCAAGAGAGAGGGAGGAAGAGAGAGAGAGGAGGGATGTAGCCTAGAGAGAGAGGTCGGAGGGTGGCACAGAGACCAAACCAAAGCCCGTTAGCTTCAATTGACACAGAAGTAGAAGTCCACTTGATACAGTTTTCGAAATCATCGAAAATTCAAGTAAGACTTTGACGTTTAATGTTAGGTGGTTATTCAGATTTTAGAGGATAGGATTTGATCTTATCAAATGGGGATGAGAAACTTTTTTATTGAGATTATATTAGATTCTATAATATTCTAAAATATCTGGATATCACATGGCTATCAGACATACCCTTACTTATTGCTAGTTTGATTTGGTGAAAACTTTTGCATTTTACGTATTTTTTAAATACAAAATAAGGACAACATATCATCTAGGATAAAGCATCAGAATTGGACTCACAAACAAAACCAAATTCGCTAAAAGTAAAACTAAAAACTATAAAGTATTAATGAAATCATATAACATATCATATTATCATCATGCCTTCCTTCATGGAAGGGCGGTATCAAAGGTTATTTATTTAAATTTGGAAACCAAGGTCGCAACATGTCCAACAATAGTATATTTTGAAGGAGCAATAAATGTCACAATACTCTTCGTCAACTACAAAATTGCATTCCCAGAAAAGAAAACTTCCATGCTTGTAAACTAAAATCTACTTATGGGTTTGAGAATCATCAAAATAAATAAATTAACCACAAGCCCGTTGAGGCTACCAGTAAAAATGATTCAAATGAGGAATTACCGAGTAAATCAAACTCCACTAGACTAGACTCCTTGGTACTCTTTTTACATTTCTTAATCAGCTAATCACTTTGGAAACCACGCCTGCACCAACTGTTCTCCCTCCTTCCCTTAGAGCAAATCTTTGGCCTGCATAATCAATAATGATTATGTTTACAGAGTAGTGATATTGTAAGAGGCAACCACGCAAAATGTCAACAGTTTGAACTATCAAAGAAAAAAAGATGACACTACATAAAACTGATAAAAGTAACTCGTTTAAATTATGTAACTCATTTAAAGATACAAATAATACCTGGCTCAAGTGGGACAGGTGATATGAGCTCAAAGATAGCAGTTACATTATCACCAGGCATAACCATCTTCACATTTTCAGGCAAATCCACCTTCCCAGTAACATCTGCTGTCCTCAAGTAGAACTGAGGTCGGTAGTTTGAGAAAAATGCAGTGTGCCGACCACCTTCATCCTTGGTGAGAACATATATCTCTGCTTCAAACTTCTTATATGTCTTCACTGTACCAGGTTTACAGATAACCTGCAAACATATGTAACACCCAAGCCAATAGTTCAGTAAAAACTATTCTTCATCGACAAAAAGTATAGGTGGCACTAGCCTCACCTGTCCCCTTTGCACGTCTCCACGCTTTAAACCACGAAGAAGAAGACCCACGTTATCACCAGCCTATACAAGGGCAATACAATGTCAAGAACGGTGGAAGATGGAGCATAAAGAAACCAAATGGGGGAAAAAGAAAGGATAGAGGCCATCTTGTACTTGTCCATTATCCAAAATTTTCTTGAACATCTCAACACCAGTAACAGTGGTCTTGACAGGGCCACCCTGAGAGAAGAAAGAGAGAGAGAGAGAGAGAGAGAGTTGCATCAGTACCAGAAAGTACAAATCTTCATCATTTTGTGACAACAAATTAAATGAACAAACATAACATCGATACCAAATTACGAGCAAACATAAGCATCACCAAAAATCCATGCATGCTAATGAAATCAATTGAGCGTAAAATTTTAAAAGTTCACCTGCATAAGACCTAGGACCTCAACATCCTCTCCAACCTTAACGGTGCCCTGCTCAATACGGCCTGTGACAACAGTTCCACGGCCCTGTTGTAACAAAAAGAAACAATACCTTAATACTGACAATCAGTAGCTGCTTGCCATAAAACCCAGAAAGAAGAGACCAAAAGATCGCCAAATTCTAAAGAAGTCTCGAGCTTTAATAACTGCCTAAGCAAGAGTTGAGAACAGTGATAATTGAATATCCTTCAAAAATCATTTTATGCATCTCTACTTTGAATGGAACCATAATGAAAGAAAAAACAATTGTTATAATGAAAGATAATTCATTGATTTGACTGTGATGAAGCACGTATGAGTTCATGATAACTGATGGACTAGCTGGTAAAACTGTAAAAACATAACCAGAGAACTTAGTATGCACTTTGTGTTTGTGTGTGTGTATGTACTACTAGACATATACTTATATTCTCACAAATGAAATACTTTTGCCTATTTTAATTAGAAAAAAAATAAGAAAAAGATGAAATAGCCAATCCAAGCACAAGAGGACTAAGAAGAACTGCCCCATGTAGTAAGTGTTGAATTTGAACTCCTACAAAGCCATTGGAGAATAATGGTGCTTCAAGAGTCGAGCAAGTACGAAGTGACGGGCGAGTTGTTGAAGTTTAGGAAGTGTTGTCAGCAACATACACTAGGGGAGGAAATCCCCATATGGCAAATCCCAGCACTTTGGAAGCTAGATTTAGAAAGAGAGTGTTATTAGAACCTGACTATTCATGGAACCATTAACGGTTATCGTCCAATCAAAACCGGTCCAACCACTATTTGAATCCGTTCAGCTTCAGCCAATTAATTTTGTCTAGTTGGTCTAACCTGCCGGTCCAATGGGTCAAACATTACTTCTAATTGGTTTTCGACCAAATCATGTTTATACTTTGGATCAGACCGGCCAAGACACTGGGTCAACAGTCCGGCTGGTGCAATCCAGTCTTGGAAAAAAATCACTAGTTGAGCAGCCAAAAAATGGTAGGAAGTACTAGTTACCCGAATACAAGCTTTTGAGAGTATGATGTCAAGTAAAAGAGTAGGGTCTTGGCATTGGGATCCTTGGATCGTAGAATCAGCACATTTCGGACATTGGAGCTAAAATCTTAGCATTCCACATTTGGAGCTTGGGGCTTTTGGAGATTTCCTAGAGATGCTTAATCGGGAATCTGCAAGTTGGCATTTACAAGCTTCTGCAAATCCACTAGAATAGCAGACTCCCCAAAGAAAAGTCAGGGTTCTATCTGATTATCTCAGAATCATTATAAGCAATTTCTCTTGTCCTTTCATCAAAGAAAGCTACTCTATTAGCATGGCATAGTTGATACCATGGAGAATCACAGACATACTACAGAAGAGATATTAGTCCTCCAGAATCTCTAGCACAAGTTGTTAGCCAATAATGGGTATCCATTACAGGTTCAAGCATGTGGGAGATACTATCTACATCATAATACTTATGATGTAAACAGAACTTACATCGCATTATTATCTCTAAGAAATGAAATCTAATCATTAGTACAAGCAAAATTTAACGGAGTACTCTTATGCTGGCAAAAGACATACCTGAATTGAGAAAACATCTTCGATTGGCATGAGGAAAGGCTTGTCTAGCTGCCGAACTGGTTCAGGAATGTAAGAATCCACAGCATCCATCAGTTTCAAAATAGCCTGCTTTCCTATCTCTTCATTTGTCCCTTGTAATGCAGACAGAGCTGAGCCCCGAACAATTGGAATTTCATCACCAGGAAACTTGTAGAAGCTAAGCAGCTCTGGAAGAAACAATTCAACATGTAAAGCCCTTGATAATTCTAAACATGAAGTTCAAATTAGACTATCAAGAGAGTCAGGCATACCACGAAGCTCCATTTCTACAAGTTCCAGAAGCTCTGGATCATCCACGGCATCAACCTTGTTGAGAAAGCACACCAATGATGGTACACCAACCTGAATTTGAGTGTGTTAGCTGCTATCCTACAAGTTTTAAGCAGAATGGCATGAAAATTTGTAACCAACCTGGCGAGCAAGGAGAATATGCTCCTTCGTTTGGGGCATTGGTCCATCTGGAGCTGATACCACGAGGATGCCCCCATCCATTTGTGCAGCACCTGTAATCATGTTCTGCAGCTCAACCAATACAATATTAACATATGCTGATCATAACCAAAAGTCCAGAATAATGGAAAAAGCTTTCATCCAATAAATGTGAGTCTCAAATATAAACAGCTCAAACATATATAATCGTGGTCTTTTTCTTCTTTATAGAGAAGAAACGAAGATGCCATTCACTAAACCAGCTCGAACCAAGAACGCTTATGGACTTAATTTTCTTAATCAATAGGCAATACAAATGAAATTAATTACTAATACATGACCTTGAGAAATTTGGCTCTGATGATATAGCAGACAGATAAACTATTTTAAAGAAGTTTAGGGTTGTCAAAAATGTAATGCCACGACATAAAAGCACTGTCAAACTTACGTTTTCATCAACTAAAGAAAAATGAACAATATTATGTGAACATACATCCAACTTTTAGATAAAGACATGGCATAGAATATTTGAAACCTAAATGCACTGGAGAACTTACTTTTACATAGTCTGCATGTCCAGGGCAATCTACATGTGCATAGTGGCGCTTGGCAGTTTCATATTCCACATGAGCCTGCATAATCAAATTAGATTCGAAATAACTCACAATGCAAGTAAAGCTGCAATTAACTTGACTTTGAATGACATTCTTAAGATACTCCATCAACAAGAAAAAAGTACTCAACAGTTGCAATGGTAATCCCTCGGGCTTTCTCCTCTGGAGCTTTGTCAATCTCATCAAAGGCGACAGCCTTTGCTTTTCCTTCTTCTGCTAACACCTGAAATAATGAAACGGTACAGCACAATGAAGCATTTCCAACAAAAACCAATGCCAATGTTAACCTGGTGGTTTTTGAGTTTTACTCCTAAATTACATTGAGGCATAAGTTATGGTAACTAAAAATATCAGATTATACGTGGACATATAAATTTCAAGCAAGGTTCACTTATAAATAGATACGAAATCATATTTCCAAATCGCGGTCCAACCAAGGTCAACAGAAGTCAGTATCAACTAGTGGCATTCGATTTTTTCTTGTAACTTCCATCAAGGCATAAGTTATAATAACTAACAATCAGATATACACATGAATCCATACAGTTCAATCAAAAAACCATTTGATTTATTTCTTGATAAACAGGAAACCAACTTTCAAAAATTATAATCCAACCTTCGTGATAGCTGCAGTGAGTGTAGTTTTCCCATGATCAACATGTCCAATGGTGCCAACATTTACATGAGGTTTCCTGTAACAACAACCACATGTAGATACTTCATTAACAATACTTCAAAAAGAAATAGGTGCATTTCCCAAAAACTCCCTTCATAAAAAGTTTAAATAAGAGTTGGTTCTTAGCATGGGAATGCACACTCATTCCACATTTGCTAAATCGTGTCAAAAAGAAGAGTCAAATGTTAAAAAGAAAAACAAATCAAAAAAATATGCTAAATCAGGCCAAAAAGAAAGTCAGTGTTAAAAACAAAAATAAATGCAAGAATTTGGTTATGCACAAGGAGGAAGTGCCTTAAAGTTAATGTACCCCTAATTCTCATCCATGAGAATTAAATATCTCCAAGAAAAAACCAAAAATAATAACATTCAGCTCTTCCCAACAACCAGAAAAAACATGAGTTTTAACCTTACTGAAAAACCAACAATGCCTAACGGATGAAAATTGCATCTAGGGTAATGCATGTTAGAACCAACTCAGTCAGTAAAACTACATATCCAAAAAAACAAAAATGCAGAGTTGAAAACTACATTGAAGTGGAAAGAAAATGAAGTAGAACCATGTTCACAAAATGCATTTAGTAAAATACATTATTTGTTCTATTGACAATTTAATTCTAGAAAAATATTGAAGTGGAAAGAATATGGCTAGTAACGCTAGTTCCATGTCCATGACATACTAAGGACATGCAAGAGATGAAGAGACACTAAAAGAATCATAAAATACACATTGATAAAAATCAAATGTATATTACCACAAATCAAATGAGGGAATTTTTTATATCAAACTTACGTGCGAGTAAATGTGGCCATCGATTTGCTCCACCAGAACCCACCAATAAAGCTACTACTGACCCCATTCTTCAGCTCTGGAACAACCGGGGAATCTAAAACAGCTCCTCTGCAACAGGAACTAATGGGAGAAGAGAAACCCAACAAGCGTTTTGTTGCCTGATATCTAAGAGCTGCAGCCATGTGGAACCCCACTACAAAACCTTTTGAGCTGAAAGAAATGATGTTTTCTTTTAATTCAGAAGGCAATAGGTTCAAGAGGACAGACTTTTTTCTTTTTATAAGGAGGATAAGTGTTTTCCTTGAAAAGCAAGAAGGAAGTTGTGAAATGGAAGTCCAGTTAAACATACTTGTGGATTCTATTAGTCGGGGTACTTCAGTTTTGTTCCCTATATATGCAATATATCTTCCAAATACTTTACAAGTATACATTACTTGGCTCCATTGCCTCAATTCCTGACCTATAAATAACCAAAATTCAGTGAAAAGTTACAGTAGATCAAACTTGCATGACTAGAAGCGAAATAAACCCACATTTATCTCGAAACAATTGTAATAATAGACCGAAATACAAGAAGAAAAAAATCACCACTCCATGGTAAAACCAACTTTCAAGAGCCGAAAAGTCAGAAGTAAGAACAGCAAACTAACAAAAAAAGTCAGAACTTGCATTATCTTGCACAACAAACTCCATGGATCCAATTTATCAAATGAAATACTCTCTATCAAACCTATCACATATTCATCAGACTTTACAGTCCAAAACACATGGAAAATGAGAAACATAATAGGGTTTTCCGTCTGTGCGCTGTTTACATTGATTTTGGCATCAAACGATTCGGCAAATCGTGATGATTTTAACGATGATTTCAGAAATTCTAATCAGTAGTCACGGAATTACAAAATCCTGACGGAATGGAAACCCTAGAAAGATCAGTGAATACTTACGCGGAGAGGGTCACTGGAGTCTTTATCCTTATTGAAACAGCAGCCAAACCCCTCCAGGGTTTATGAAGGATCTGCGATCGCTATATATAGGCAATTTAATAATTTGGAAAAACAAATATCATTTAAATGGCTAAACTACCTCAAAAATTTGTTAAGGTGGTCAAATGAAACAGAGTTTTAAACATGGTAGTTACTTAGAAAACACCATTCCCTTTAAGTACCTCTGCTTTTTTTTTTTTTTTTTTGGTAGAATAGTGAGGTTTGTACAAAGTGCTCACCTTATACCAAATGAGCAAGGGGCATCTCTAAATTTTGTCGAAAGATGTAATTCTGATGACATAAACATTACCAAGGCTTGAATGTTTTATTATTACAAATTTTACAATTTCAGTGGATATCGATTAGATTTATAAATACTTAAAAATATTAAAAAAAAATCCAAATAATTAGTTAATTTTTAGGATTTCAAAAAAAACTTTTTTTAAAAAAAATAATATATACAACTTAAGGTTGAGATGATAATTTTGAAAGTTTTCAAACTTCATGACACACTTCTCAGTTGGAATTTTGAGGTACACCTTACTTGTTACTTCTATATTGTAAGGTTGCAGCCTTATATAAACTTCATCCTTTAGAAATATAGGAATAAACATTCACCAAAAAATTCATATTAATATTTTTAAAATACAATATAAAATTGATTTTTCACCATTAGACATGACTTTGTGAAATCTCAACCATTGGAAAACGAGATTTAGATTTCCAACAACCAGTATTTTAACCGTTAATACCTAATTAAGAGTATAGTACTGGTTTTTTTCTTTCTACTTTTTTAATATGTGCGCATTTTGGTACTCACTAGCTTTTCTAATAAACATTAGAATGCCATGTTATATTGTCGGTAACGTGCAAAGTGAGAACTGAGGACTAAATGAGTTTTTGTGGAAATGGTCAAGATAAAAGCTCAGCTGCAAATAAAAATAGTAATAATAATAAAAATAATAAAAATCATGTCTCAAATATCACATGAACATACAAATTGATCGCCTCTCACCTTGCCAATTATGGATTCAAAATCTCAAGGCTTAAAAATAGTGTATTTTATAAAATATTATCTCGATCATCAATTTCCAAATGCTTACAGGTCCATGAGACTTCGTCATTTCTAGAGCTTCGACTTTCATTATCCAATGTGGAAATAGTTTATCAAATCATCGTTGTTTTCGATGTATAAAAATATAGTTTCCATTGAGGTGCAACTTTATTTATTTTTCCTCAATGGTACGTCTGGTTTGTATCAAATTGTTTTACAAAAAACATTTTTATATGATAAAATTATCTTATATGATTAAGTGTGGATATATTTTTACATCAATTAGTTATGAATTAGTGTGAAAATGTGTGCTAATACTATTTTGTATGAAAATATTTCCACACTTGACCACATAAGAGAATTTTTTTTTTGTAAAAAAATTATCTATAAAATAATTTCACACGAACCAAACGTGCCCTAAAAGCTTGAGTATGTGCTTTACACAAACCACATCTAATTTTTATTTGCCAATGTCCAACGTCTTTCTAAATTTGAAACTGACATTATGTTTTAATGCTTTTCATTTGCTCTACTAGGTACAGAATTGATTTTTGAAAAATACATTTACCTTGCATCTACTAGGGCATACCAAGGGGTGAACATGTGTATTTGAATAAAGAAAACAATCTTTTTTTTAGGAGGGTAGTTTAAGGAGGATGGTTCATCTATCTTTAACAAAAATAGAATATAAGACGTCATATTGTGATGTCTTTCTCCACCTACCCCTAAGTCCATTCATAATAAATAAAGATTCTATCACTAAACACAAAAGTGCAGAACAAGTGACCTCGAAAGAGATTAGTAAGAACTGAACACATTACAAGTAGATTTAGGCATAAGCGATGCATTAGCATCGGTTTGCTCAACTTTGATTAATGATTACTGCTTTGGGTGAGGTTTGTATTGAGCCGAGGCTCTAAACAATCAAATTAGAGCCTACCTTCAAATAGTATCAAGAAGTATGGTTTCAATACTGGAAAGTTTTGTGATAGCCTTAAATTATATTTTCACCTTTAGTTATAAAATTTCAAGCTTAAAAAATAGTGTAGATCGAACAAATATATGAAAACTTGAAATTATTGAAAATTGACGGTCAAAAAATGCATTACAAGATGCACTGCTTTCAAAACTTGAAATCTGTTTTTTCTTCTCATGTTCATGCATATTGATGTCGAGATGATCAATTTGATGATATTTGGGCATCAAAATAACATCTTCTAGTGAAAGCTTTGAGGTAGGCTCTAATTTGATTGTTTAGAGCTTAGGCTCTATGTAAACTTTTCCCTTTATCTTTTTGTACATAGAAGTGACAATCATTTTTACCTTTAAATTTCAGAATGGGTGGTTGTAAGCGTGTTATTGAATAACTACAAAATTTTAAATTTTTTTTTTCAAACTTCGTTGATTCACCTCAAGACATCAAATTTGACATCTAATGTGTAGAAGTGATCATGACCTATATGCATTAATGACATTGACACTCAAGTTTGTACTTTATAACGATTACTGATAAGCTTAAGGGTCACTCCACCCCGCAAGAGCATATCAGATATTCATTGATAAAACCCTTTTAATATTATTTTATTTGGAATTACTTTAGAATTTTTTAGGATATTGGAGTTAAAAATGTACCCGCATTACCGTAAACACCAACCTAAAAACATTGACATGCATTTTTATATAAGCAGAAAAAAATAGCATACTGACATGAGAGAATCTAATTTAAGATCCAAGTGTCTACAACATAGAAATTTAATTAGGAAATTTACATAAATACCACTTGTATTTTGCATAATAAAACTTGTGCTTAGTATCCAGCATCTCATGCTCATGAATACTTATTTAACTTAATCACATCTATAGAGAGGCCAATAACGTGGTGGATGTGTTGGCTAAGCGGGATACATTATTAAAATCTATTGTTGTTTTTTATTATTTGATTTAATTTTACTATGCTTTGTAACCTATTTTTAATCAATAAACATTCGTATTCTTGTTAATAAATTATACTCTGGTTGATATATATATATATATATATATATATGGAAAAATATCTTGTCAGCCCAAAGGCGTACCGCTGTAGTAAACGGCAACGACTTAGATTGAATCTGAGCTGATCTAATGATTCCAAATGTCTAGAGTATTTGAATTTTTTTTTTGTTCTACAGATCAGATTGATTTGAAATTTGGAACTTATGCACATAAAAAAATAGGTGAATTTTCAAAAAATATAAAAAAATATTTTATATGAAAAAATTGACCAAGATATCCCTATAAAGTTTTGAGGGTATTTTGGTCTGTTTTGCTGATTGTTTGTTTTGTATTTTTATTAGGTGTGTATTGGTGAGAATAATA